GTCGAGAAAATATTGGGTAAATTGGGAAGGGGGAGAAACACATTGACCAAAAAAAAAAACATTCATTTCTTAAAAAAAAAAAAAAAAAAAAAAGACATTCTGAAGAAATCTGGCGGAGCAGATGTTACAAAGTAGAATAACTGGCTGTAAAAAAATAACTGGCTGTCAAAAAATACAGTGCCTATAATTTACATACAGTACCTATAATATTATTACCTTTTAATTTTGTACGCATACATTTATACCGAGTGTATGCAGAATCGAAATTCTTTTCTATGTTTACAATTAATTGTAATTGTCCTCCCAATTTATTTTACTGTACAAGTCACATCTTAGCCTTGACTTTGCTGTGTATTCTGTAAGGATCAAATTATGAACAAGTTAGTTTAGGGAAAATAGATAAATATTTACAGGAAAAGGAAGCAACAGCAACCTGCTAATTGCATTTCCTTGATCTTCTCACTTATTCACATTCATCTGTGACTAAATGTGAATATAATGAAATCATTATATTGGTTTACTCAAGGTCGTGTAACTCATCAGGATGGGTTTGTGTAAATAGAATTGGCAACACACTGAGAAAATATTCCCTCAGAATCAAGAGGTTCGAATAAATATGCAGACATTGGCAGTGTCTATTAAACTAAATGGATTATTTTATTTTATTTTATTTTTAGTTATTGCATTGCATTGCATTTTTTTTCTTTTCATTGAATGTCTTGCAATACAATTCTGAACTCCTTTGGTTTGGAAAGGCTTTTTTTTAAGCACAAAAAGGCGAATAAAAGAGCAAAACAGGGAAAAAGTGTTGGGCAGCTCCATAAATATTCACTAGTGCTTAATGGATGGGTTTGGAAGCTGTTGGTCCTCCTGTCTATTTGTTGGTGTTGTTAATGTTGCTTTTTCCCCTCCGTCTCATCTCCCTCATGCTCATTAGCCCCACACAGCACACTGGGAACATCAATCCTCCCCAGCAGAGAAAAACAGCATTGCTGTCATTCGATTAATGGCAATGCTCGAGTTCCAGCCCGCTGCCAAAGACCTGTTCTAAATCACTACTTCTGCCCACAACGGCACTGCAGAATGGAATTCAGGTTTGTTCGTTTGGCCGAGGTTTCCGGAGCTCTTGCGTGGGTTAAGTTTGTCTGTTACAGTTGATCTGGGATGAAGATGGCTCATTCGAAGCAGATAGTCAGGGTTTTAATTCAGCGCAGAGGCCAGCTCCCATCTTGCCTGACCAGTTTCTAAATCATGTACAATGTTGTTGTTGTTGTTGTTGTTTTTTGGACTGAGCTCTTTGCAATGTTTTCTGAGATTGCCTTACATTTTGGCCAAAAATTTTGCCCGATTTTAGTACCTACAATTTTGAGATGGTATTTGTGTTGACATCGTGCCTATAATGGCCTAAAATGCTCTCCAGCAAGGCAGTATACTAAGGTTTGAGCTAATGTAATGCTTGTGGATGACT